CCCTGTGCTCTTTTTGAAAGGAGGCACCCAGGCCCAGAACGTGTTCTGCAGTTTAACTACTTCCAAATTCTTTGTTCAGGTCACCCCGGGACGCCATTGTCCGCTATTGAGAGCTTGGGCGGGAGGGCGGGTGCGCCTCTGCCTGGCGGGCCTGAATCCATTAGGCCGCCACTCTGGCCCCTGCGGCCCACTGAGGTGCCTGCCAAACCCGGGCTCCAGCAGCCCCCTCTCGTCCTCCCCGATCCTGCCCTCAGCTGCCTTTTTTGGATGCCTCGGAGACGCAGGATGCTGCAGGTCCATGTAGGGGTTATCTGGGTCTCACCCTGTCCAGAGGGACTGGGCATGGGTACAGGCCTAGTACGATTCTTGCCAACTCTGTTCCAGTCTGCACGCTCTCATCCGGGGTCTTGGCCACACCCCATTGCTTGTCACTGGGTTCTTGGACCCTCTGGGCAGCTTTGGAGGAGGCTGTAACCAGATCTCAGAAATGGGATGGAGAAACGACCAACATCACACCTCCTCCTCCACAGTCTGTGTTTCCCCCTTCCTTCTTCCCTCTGGGCCTAGCCCCCCAGCTTCTAGTTGACTCAAGCCTCTCCTGAGTTAAGAACATGAAAGGTCGCCCAGATTTTTTAGGGGAAGCACAGCAAGGAGTGCCAGTCCTGTCCTGAGCCCCCTTGTTGTCCTCAAAGGCTGGTCTACCCAGCATGGTGACCTCCCCAGCTCACTGGGCAAAGGACAAAAGGTGTCCTGGCCCTAGGCATGGCTTCCAGGCTCCTAGGGTGCCAAGGCTGGTGCCAGGGATGCCTGCCCCCACGGCCTTACCCTCTCCTCCCTCAGAACCCAAGGAGTCAGAGAGCGTGGGAGCCTCTCAGGGAACTCAGCTCCTCAGTGCCTACCTGGGGACTGGCTAAAACACTGGTGCACCAGTGCCCTGCGGAATGCCCCAGAGAGCGTCCCTCAGGTCCTGTAGGGATGCAAAGGCTCTCTGAGCCCACAGAAGGCTTAGGAGAGACTGAGCACATAAAGCTAGAACCCACAAAAGGACATCGAGAGGGTGTGGGGAGGAAGAAACTTTACCCTTAACGTTCTTCTGTTCTTCTGGCTGATCTAATAATTAAATCTATATGAGACAGATTAACAAGAGAAAACAACCAAAGTTAATTGCATATGTTTTGCATGGGGACCCCACATACATGGGAGAGATGGAGACCCCACATATGTGAGAGGTTCAGACAGAAGGGAAATTGAGGTACATAATGACGTTCTGAGTTAAAGATGAGGTAAGGCACCTTGGGGTTTCAGAGGGGAACAAGGTCGTTTGCAGATGTTCGGTAATTAGGAGTTTGCCGTGCCCTATAGACAGGTCATAAAAAGATATTTCTGGTGATAATGCCTACCTACTATGGGCAAGGCCCCTAATTTAGATTCTGCTAGGTAGTTAACAGAGAGGGGCAGAAATTTCTCTAGAGCTGGCAGGGTCTCAGTTGCTTTTAGCTCAAAATAATCATACCACAGAGGCACATTCTGGGGTGACTCATTCTGAACCCCTATAGAGGCTAGCTCACTCAAAACGGATGCCCAAGAAAGGGTCAGTTGCTGTTCGGGTAGCTTTTCTCGGCTCCCCAAGGTTCTTTGTGCCGCCTCATCCTGTTCCTCCTACTCTGGCATTATGGGGCCATTGAGTCCAAGGGCAAATACAGACACACCCAGACCTAGAGGTCACTCAGACTTTTGGTCCAGTCCGTCCTGTCCAGTTGAAAGATCCACCACACCCTTCCGGGGAGCTGGCCTCCAGGAGAGAGTCATGGATGCGTCCCTAGGCCGGGTGGGCCTCCTCCGGGGCAGGGCCCCTCGAGGAAGAAAAGCGACAGATGAGGGCTCTGGTTGCAGAAGAGGAGTGCTGGGTGGTGGGCCCTGCAGGCCCAGGGGGTGGGAGGGAGGGCGGGCGGCCTCCGCTGCACGATCCCTGCTCCCAAGACCTCACGACTGGGACCTCCAGGCCCGCGCCGCGCGGCATTAGGGTGAGGTGACTTCACGGAACCCACCTCAGCCTAGATGGGTAGCGGAGGAGGCAGAGCAGCGCCCCCTGGCTTCTCCACTGGAGCTCTCGCAATGCTGCCCTGCCACACCCTTCCCACTGGGTTCCAGACCTGAAGCTGGGAAGGCCGAAGCTCGCGCCCCCCGTCACCAAGATCTGGCCGGACTATGCCAAGGCTCTTGCGGGACACAGGAACTCCTGAGGGTCTCCTGGGCTCCCACTCCCACGTCCTCCTTTTTCCGTCCTCCTCACCCGCCCCGGGTCCTACAGCGGTGGGTCTGACCTCGCAGATCTCCCGCCCCTGAGCGGGGCTCCCCGCTCTGTACAAGAGCGCCCTCTGGCGGAAGTTTCCGGGAGGTGCAGGCGCACATGTCTTAGGCTGCTGCGGGCAGGGTAGGAAAAACTCTGAACCCGCGCGGGGTGTCTGCCCTCTGGTTTCGGGTCTGGATAGAGGGGACAGAGATGCAGTAGCCTAACGAGAGCTGGGCACCTCTTCCTCCTCCTGGCTCCTCTCTGCCTCTCAACCCGCTCATGAGTGGTCAGGAAACAGGCATTCACGTTAATGGGGACACCAGTGAGTAAGGCAGCCAGACTCCAGGCCTAAATCTCATCTCCTCTTCAATCTGGAACTGGGCCCTCTGCTATCCTGGCCTCCTTCGAGAAGGTCCCATGTAGACTGAGGTTGATGGGGCAGGCTCAGGACCTTTCCTAGGGTTTCCTCAGCCAAGTAAGCTATGCCCTTTGTCCACACGGTACTGTCAGTCCGTTCCCAGTGTCACCCTCCCCATCTCAGCAGTTTCCCTTTCAGACAGGGTCCCTCTCATACCTGCGGGACCTCAGGAAATTAAGAAGTAGAAGCCCTTTCTCAGGTCCGAGGATCTTGTTCCAAGGATGAGTGGTAGATGGGCAAGAGGAAATGACAGGATGTACAGGCAAGGCCCGAAATTTGCAGAGTCGAGATTCCGGCCTAGGCTCGCACCTTCAGTGGCAGCAGCATATCTGTTGGCCCAAGCATGATGTTCTGATTTGAAGCTGATCATAAGTTTTGATGGGTTCCTGACATTCATTCTACAAATATGTGCTGAGCTTCTATTATATGTTAGGCACTTTGAGGGGCAAAATTCAGGGTAAGTAACTTGCTGAAAGGCACACAGCTAGGAAATTGCTGAAGCCAGGATTCAGCCTCAGGTGTGCGCTACCCTACCCCCCTCTCTCCTCTCTCAGTTGAATGATTTCAGAGGTCTCCTGACTGGACCTCCACTTTAGAAATCACCTTCCACCTTCCTTGGGGAGCCTCTGCTGGGCAAAGACCTTTCCTTCTATAATGCCAGCCTGATCATGTCTCCTCCTTGCGTAAAATCCTTCCGTGGGATTCTGCCTCTCTCAGGATAAAGTCCCAGGTTCCTCTGAGGCATACAGGCTCCCCCTGTGATGTGATCTGTGTCCCCCTGGTGCTCCTACCATCCCAGTCGTCTTCTGTTTCTCCAGGGCACAGAATCCCTGCCTTTATGTGCACCTGCAGCTCTTCTGCCTAGAATACTCCTCTCTTCAGTATGTTTAAGATTCTAGGTGAATGTCACCTCCATGAAACCTTCTCACCCAGACATATTCACTATGACTCCTCCAGCTGAAAGACCAGATATGCCTAAGTAGCCATGTTTGTATTTCTTGCGACCTCCCCTCCCCCGGATACCCATTGATTGAATCAGTCATGGGAAATGTATGGAAAGATCAAGGCTCAATGCTACTGTGCCGCCTTCATAAACCCTGGTTGGAGTGTGAGTTCTATCTGTCTCACGGAAGGGGAAGGGGGCGGGGCTGGGGTGCGGGATCAGCCTGCAAGGTGGCGGAGTGGTGTGTTTCTGCAGCCCACTCCTGAAAAATACCGAAGTCAGTTTCTCAAGTCAGTTCACAGTGTCCTGGCACACGCACAGGCTAGAAAGTTCAGACTGACTTTCAGTCCTAATCAGGTATGTGACCTCACTCAGGTCTGCGTCCAATTTCTCTGAGCCTCGCTTACCTCATCCGCACAACTGGGTCTCCAGGCTCTCGTGATTCCCGTGGGCCGCCTTTGCAAGGTACTTTACAGTTTTTCAACTACGGGGCACCAAGAGCCGCAGCCGTTCGTGCACCTCGAGCAACAGGAGGTGGATGCAGAGATCACAAAGACTGGAAAGCAGCCTCTAGCTGCTCCTCCGGCCAGAGGGAACAGGACGCTCTCGGGGGGGGGGGAGGAATAGCCAGCGGGCAGATTCGGTTTCAACAAAGGGCAGTGTTTTTACCCATCATAATTGCCCAGGATGAGGCCAGGCCGCACAGGGCTGGTGCGGTGAGAGGATTCCCTTCGGCGGTGAACTCCAGCCATTCTCGTGTATCAATTGATTTTAAATCGGGATTTCCGCATAGGATTATCGTCCTCTCAACTCCTCCAACCACGTGGGGGGTACGCGTAGCTGGTACATTTTAGAAATGTGCACTCCACCCCGTCCTGGGACACGTAGGCGAGCAATTCCACAGGACATGCTGAGCGTGCAGTGTGGGAGCTGTTACTTCCGCAGCTGCGGGCGTTCTCAGGCTTCAATGTGGGGCTGTAATCAGCACGATCTTTGCAGCTGTCCGAGCACTCCATTCCTAAGAGGAGGAATGGACCAAAAAGAGTACTCCCACCTCTTTACGACCGCGGCAGGACTCGAACCTGCAATCTTCTGATCCGAAGTCAGACGCCTTATCCATTAGGCCACGCGGCCGCCTCGTAGGAGAGGTTGTTTAGACAACCTACAAAATCTCATTACCGCCCACCAATTTGCCTAAGACCGACCCACCTGCTTCTTGAGCAGGGGAGTTGGACTTTTATTGTGCAGGGAGGGCACACCCGGAAGTCCCCTTTCCCCCCCGCATGCGGACCGGTCCACTTGAGGCCCTTCTATTGGTCGCGCGGGGAGTCTCCCCGCCTGCCTCTCGGGTAAGCCGCGGGACAGAGCGCGGCGCAGACGGGAAGTTGCGGCTGCCAGCGAGGCGGACTGGTCGGGTGGAGGCCGCAAGCCACCTCGAGGCTGCGTAGGCCGCGCGGAGACGCCGCGTCGCTGGTCTGGGGTCGGGAACCGCAGACCGGGAGGCACTAGGCGGACCGAGGTTTCTGGCGGGATCGGTGCCGGGGAGGCCGGGTCGTTGAGCGGCGGCGCGGCCCCTCCCTCCCCTGTCCGGGAGTAAGGCCCCGAGCAAGGCGGAGGCTCGTCCCAGGGCGCACCGCGGCGCCGCCGCGGGGCACGGGCGGGTGGCCGGGAACACTGAGTCCGCCGGCGACGCCCCCTGCAGGCCGCCCTCGGCCCACTGGGCCGCGGCCCGGGTGTGGGTGTGGGCCCCGGGGCTTGGCGGCCCACCCGGCGGGTTCGAATCCAGGTGCTGGCACCTCGGCGCTACGCCCTCTGCCCTGGGCGGTCGCGATCGGTTGCCCTCGCCACCAATTTGCCAAGGGCCGGCCTGCGCGACCTATTCGCCGTTGTCATCCAGTCCTGTATGACAGAGTCCTTAACCCCATTTTACGGAGTAGGAAATGGGGGCCTAAGGAGCTTGCCCAAGGTCATGCAGCTCCTAAGAGTCAGAGCCGGGATTCATACCGGTTGGTCCAGAATCAGCGTTTTTAACCAGCATCTGTGATTTCACTTTCTCTAAGTTCACTGATGAACCTACGTGAACCTCAATTTACTCAGCAGGGGTATTGATATTTTCCCAGGCTGTTTTAGGCTTAACTGAGAAAATGTACCGAAAAGCGCCGGGCGCGTTGCCTGGGACGCCGTGAGTGCTCAAGGAATGACGGCTTGTAATGTAACAGTTGATACCTCTGTAGTAACACTTTATGTCGTCTGTCTACTTTAGAATTTGTAGGTGGAAGGCAGGCATGATCAGGCCCATTTCACTGACAAGAAAACAGAGACAGGACGTGTCTCTCCCCACGTCATTCAGTCAGTAAAAGCAGCCAAGCTGGAGCCGAAAGCCAGGTGTCCTGAATCCCAGCGGGGGGCTCCCTGCACCAACCATGAGCCGCCTGCTCTGGAAGAAAGTGGCCGGCGTCGTCGTCGGGCCAGGGCCGGTTCCAGCTCCGGGGCGCTGGGTCTCCAGCTCCGTCTCCGTCCCCGTCCCCAGCGACGGGCAGCCGCAGCCGCAGCAGCCGCAAGTGCCATCCTCGGAGGGCGGGCAGCTGCGGTACAACCCGTTGCACATCCAGATGCTCTCGAGAGGGCTTCACGAGCAAATCTTCGGGCCAGGCGGGGCGATGCCCGTCGAGGCCGCGGTGCGCCGCAGCGTCGAACACCTGCAGAAGCACGGGCTCTGGGGGCAGCCGGCCGCGCCCTTGCCCGACGTGGAGCTGCGCCTACCCCCCCTCTACGGGGGCAGCCTGGACCAGCACTTCCGCCTCCTGGCGCAGAAGCAGAGCCTGCCCTACCTGGAGGCGGCCAACTCGCTATTGCAGGCCCAGCTGCCCCCCCGGCCCTCGAGCTGGGCCTGGGCGGAGGGTTGGACCCGGTACGGCCCCGCGGGGGAGGCCGTACCCGTGGCCATCCCCGAGGAGCCGGCCCTGGTGTTCGACGTGGAGGTCTGCTTGGCAGAGGGAACTTGCCCCACGCTGGCGGTGGCCATATCCCCCTCGGCCTGGTAAGTAGGGGCTCGCTCGGGTCAGGGGACTTTAGCATACGTGGGGGCCCAGCTTCCTAGCTTGGTTCAGTGAACGTTTATTGAGCCTCCACGGTGTGCGGGGTGGGTGCTTTTCTCGTGATTGCTGATCCGTGGTGAACTAAAATAGGCTTGCCCCCAGCTTTAACAGAGGGAAGACACGAGCAGTAAGCAAACACCCAAGCAGATGTCAGGTGGTGATAGGGGCTATGTGGAGAATCAGTGGGGTGTTGTACTTGAGACTGACCAAAAGACCACTTAAGATCACCTCGATTTGGTGCCTTAACCCCCTCTCCTAGTAGCTTCCTGAGAAGTTAGTTTAAGACATTTGAACAGTGTTTCTATTTGGGGGCTTTGAGCAGAAATCTCCCTTTTGGGGTCTGTCCCAGGCAGCATAAGACATTTAGTATCCCTGCCGCTCTGTTAAATGCCAGACCAACCCCCTCCTTCAGCATTTCCAAATGCCCCCCCTGGAGGTAGCATCCCCTAACTACTCGCAGTTGAGAAATTGTTGAGAAATGCTGCTTCCGACCCTCCGCCTCCCAAGCAGGCATTTTAGTCCCCAAAAGGTATATCCAGTCTCCCTCTTTTCTTTTTAAGTACCTTTCTAAGTGCTACCCAAGTTTCTTTTTCAAACAATGATGGCAGTACTGTTTCTCCCCTTTTTTATTCTTCATTCCAGGATTAAAATACTATTTACAACCTTAATGCTTTCAGGCATGGCCAGCAAAAAGTTGGCAGTTTCTTTATTCCTATTGGAAGCTACATCTTTGTAAAGAAAGCTGCGAAATGTTAAATATGCAGTTGAGAATGGTGAAAACATGGCTAAATAGATAAGGTAGGCATTCGTCGCTGAAAAGAGCGAAACTAGGTGATTCCTCATTGATTTAGTTCCAGTGCAGATGAGAGTCTCAGTACTTACTGTGTAACCTGATGGTCAGAATAGAGGGGATACCGCCCGTCATTGGAGAAGGTGAAGTAGGCTGTGGTGGCTGAAAGAAACTTAGGAAATGATTGACAAGAAAGACTTGTTTTTGATCTCTTGGTCATTTTTGACCAATTTACCTAAAATCTCCTTTTCTCTTCCTCCTCCTTCCTCTCCTAACTTCACCTCTCTCTCCTGTTCTTTCCATCCTCCTCTCATTCTCATTCCATTCTTGCCATGGTACTGGGGGCATTGCTCAGTTTGCCTGGTGGCAAAAGCCTGGGCTTCCTGGAACCCTGACTATGGTGGGGTGGGGGATGCCTGGTGGGGCCCTCATAGCTGTCCACTTTTAACCTGGACATGTCCCTGCCACATGGCTGCAGCTGTGTGTAACACCAGGTACCTGACCAGCCCGCAGTTTCCGCAGGGAGGGGAAGTCTGGACTGCCAATAGGGCAGTTTCCCAAAGGCTGCGGGTAAGGGCTTTGGTCCCCAGGCTAGAGGGACATGAAGGAGGCTGTCCCCATTTATCTGAGATCATAGGAAACGAGTAGCATTATTGGTGTTGGCTCTATTTACCAAAGGTATTTGCATTTTGGTTTTCTTCTTATCACAAATTTATAATCCAGCTGCAGGCCAGGATCTCAACACCAGTCTGGCTTTTAATTACAACTAAAGTTCCTGTAATCACCATAGCCTTAAATAGTTCACATTTTTCTGCCTTTTCTTTGTTTTTAAGGGCTTTGACATGCTAAATTGGAAGGGGGGGAGGTTTCAGCTTGAGTCCCTGAGCATATTCCCACCTTTTGGAGTGCGAGTTAGATTTTACCAGGTTTAAAACTAGGAATCTCTCTTTGCTGCCCCTCCCCCCACCAACCCCCCCCCCACCGTTTTGTTTGTTGAAACTGTGGGCAGTAACCCCTCCTCTCCTTAAGGGGTGCAGGGAGCTCCTTTGCAGCTGTGGTGGCCACACATGTGGCCTCATCACTCACTTTGATGCTGAATGGCCTTGACCTTTTGGCATAATCTGTGGTTCACAATGGCCTTTTCCTCAGCAACCATTTCCCCCACGCTTAGGCTTGTGGGTCTTGAGCAAACTTCAGCCTTTTCTGAATCAGTTTAAGGCCCTCAACAGGCAGCACTCATCCACCGTCCCTCCCACCCACATCCTTTGCAGATGTGCATAATTTCCTTCATTCTGGCACTTACCCGAGTCTCTCACTCAAGAGTGGTTGCTCAGAGAAGCACAGCACCTACAAGGTGTGTGATTTGCTCTTTGTCCTTCAGAATCTTTCCAGGCGTCAGATGATTCACCCTGTATATGAGTGCAGCATTCGTCATTGTTTTTGCCACTTTAAATGGAGGGGGGGAAAAGAACGGTTTCTACTTTGGGTTCTATTATAATTGTTTATCTTCTTTATAGCCCTTTGAGCACTAGCTCTTTTGTGTTTACAGGCATGAGGGGTTGATAATATTTATAAAACACCTCAGAGCCAAGCACAGATTTAGTGAACACTTGGCTAACAAACACCTCGATGACTCAGGCTGAATGGTGGCACATCCAGTAGTGTGGCACTTAGCTCCATTTTTATCCGTGGAAATTGAAAAGTAAAGCAGCTTTTGTAACTGTCCCATCCCCCTTCCCCTACAGATACCCCCACAGCGTCCCACCTGACCCCTAGCTCTGTGAGGGATAGGAGCACCCACTGGTCTCACTTGTGCCCCCAGCTTGCTAGTGCAAGACCTGGCACCTGGCAGCAGGTGTGCAGTGGGTGTTGATAAGTTTCATGCCTCTATGCTGAACCTGCCTGCCTCTCGCCTCCCTCAGGTATTCCTGGTGC